CATCCACCCATCCATCCACCCATCCACCATCATTTATTCATTCCTGGAGGAGTAAAGGATTTTGTAGACGAAAACCTTTACACCCTTCCCAAGACCCTCCACAAATCTGTCCAGGTCTTTGACTTTAGAATTTATTACATTCCTTTTCCAAGGCATGTCATTGAGCTCTCAAGTTCCTGGTTGCCTACTAACAGCCTCTGCTGATAATACCATTAAAGTATGGGATATAAAGGTATTTACGTGGATCAAATACGCTCAATATTCGAAATCATCGTCAGGTTTAAAACATAGAACATAGAAGCGGAGACCATAATCGTACATGGGAGGTGCGATAATTAGATGCATCTAGTGATACAATTTTTATCAAGTACGTGATACAACTCGTTTAAAAATGTTCATAAATTTTTGCACTGACAGAAAGCATGGAGGCTGTTAACACACGTTTCATATCGACTAGGCCAAACAAAATAAAAAGTGTGTTTTTCCTGTTGCATATCCAACCCAAATTTTCTTGCAAATTTTTGGCAACCCTAATATTTTTTCATTTCCAAATGCACCACAGGGTTCCCAGTAAGCTTATTTCCACTGTTGTATCAGTAAAAAAATCTGACCTACAAGCCCCAATTATTTTTCTCATGCAACAGGAAACACACTTATTTTTTGTTTGGCCCTATGTATCTAAAAACAAACCACATTAGACGATTATTGTCGTTTCCCATAATACCTTGCGGTCTCAGCTTTTATGTTGAATTCTCTGGTATCTTATTCAAAACTGACTACGGATGTCAAAAAAATATTATTTATTTTCATAGGATGACAAGCCAGCATTCATTTTATCCAGAGATATGAAAATGGTATGTAAACGTTGCCCATTGCTATTTGATCTTTTCATAYATTGGTCAGACGTAGTATGAACTGATTCAGTGCTCAACCCTAGCGGTATTCCACTAGTCAGTGACTAGTCACCCGGCCAGTAGCTGTTACGTAATTTGTAATAGATAAATACTACTGTTTTCATGAACATGCGAACTCGTTTTACAAGCTGCACGATGAAATTTGTTTTTTCGCTGCCGTCAATCAAAAATAATCAGTTGGTACCTTTCATAGTATTTGACTGGCGGCACCAATAAGAAAGAAATAGCCTGCGTAGCGGCCCAAAGGGAAGGGAAGGGAAGGGGAGAGGGACTAGGGAGAGAAAGGGATGAAAGGTAGGGCCTGTAATGAACCCCCTTGAGTTTTTCCAAATAATTTCTCTTTGGGGTTCTGTTCATTGGATATTTTAATTCAAGATATTCCCAGTAAAGTCAACTCATTCACGGGGAAGGCAGACTTTTGAGGCGCGAAACCCCAATGTGAAGTTATTTACACTTCCGGCAGACGTCGCCGTCGTAGATTTTGCAAATCTTAAAGTCCCTATTAGCAGCGAGCCACCCTTGCATGTTATTTCGCGGCTAGTAACTTCCAGTGATGAAAGAGAAACTGAATTTTGGAGAACATTACGTTAAAGCAAAAGAGTTCTATTTCATTCCCATCTTGTCATATTTTACAGGGTCATATAATGAACGCTTCATGCTGTCCTGATTCCCCCTTCGTCTTCGCTCTTGGCGGAGAAAAGCAAGGGGTTCAGTTGTTTAATATTATGGAAAGCGGGCCTGTCAGACGTCACTTTGAAGGAAGAAAAAGGCTTACACGTGCTGTGGGGTCCACAACAAGCAGTGCAGAAAACACRAAATCCATGGATGACGAACAGGTAGGATCGAAAGAGATATTCTCTACTCACAGATCGAACCCTGAAACAACCTCTGGGCTGATCTAAGTCAGGGCATGGCCAACTCACAGATTGAACCCTGAAACAACCTCTGGGCTGATCTAAGTCAGGGTATGGCTAACCCACAGATCGAACCCTGAAGCAACCTCTGGGCTGATC